TGGTCACTCATATTTTCCAACCAGCTATCAAAAGATTTACCTTTCTTCTCAGCTCTGTTCAATGCCAACCCTCCCCGACTCCCTTTCAGACAAGTAACAGCCGCAGCAGCCAACTCGTACAGCCCAGTCCAATTCTCGGAGTAAGGGAAGGCACGTAAAGGTTGGCCTGGCAGAATTTTATTTTTTTCATTCCAAATTTTCCTCTGGAAGGACGGTAGCAGTACCATTTCGTTCAAATCATCCACTATAAAATCATCTTCGTCAACCCATTTTTCGCTTCTCACCGATTTCCGCCGTTGAGGAGTGAAACTATATGGCTCATAGGCGCCTTCCTCACTATCAATCCTTGCGACGTATAAGGACTCAATGACCTCCATATTGGCGCGCTGGCCAACGAATTTGACGAGCTTGAGGGTTTTGTTGTCATTGATGGGATCCATGATATTAGAGTCTGTGACTTGTTGAAACATCATAGACAAAAAATAAGAACTATCTGACAGCTGTTTAGGGATTTTTCCATCTCCACTGCTACTAGTGGGCAATGGAAGAAGACATGGGTCTGCGACCGATACTGGAATTGATGGATCATCTGGTGAGAAAGAGAAGCGAAATACCTGTGCCATGGAGTTGAGTCGCGAGGTTAGAACGAGGGAAAAATCTACATCGATATTAGCAAACTACTGACTTCGACTGGTAAATTCAAATGCTGTGGGGTCAAAATTACCGTTATGTACGAGTAAGGGCACCAATCGAAGACTAGTATCTTCCGGATCTCGAAAATGACGCCAAGAGAGAAGGACGGAAATCTCCTGGTTTTCTTCCTCACAGCTAGATGATGGAAAGCCTTCACTATTAACATGCAGCCAAAATACTTGCGTGGTTGTGAGAACGAATATGCTAGCGAGGTTTGACTGGCTCCTTCTAATGTCTAAGATCCACTCGGACTCGCGCTCTATGCCAACGTCAACAGGATGGCGTTGTACAGGATCAGTATTTATTCGAAACAAGGCTATAGTCCGTCTGTCGCAAACTAGCAACTTATGAACATCTCCCACCCAAGAAACAGCAGCCCATCCATCGTAATGGTCTCTTTGGGCATGCTCATCTTTCTGCAATGTGCCCTGCAAGCCCAAGCTGCCGGACGGGCCACGATCAGCGCGCCAAATCGTACTTTGGCGTGGCTTCCCAATATCCCAGACACTCCAATTTCCCTGACGATCGACAATTGCAATCTGTTGTTGGTACCATGGATTAAACGTAACATCGGCATGCGGCAACCCGCCTGTTAGGGAGATTGATACATGTAGGATAGGGTTGGCATCCAGATGTGTATCTTCCTGACCTCCCCGCACGAAGTCCATCTCGTCGTAATGGGCGGAGAGCGGGAGCTTGTTGTACTGAGGGCGGAATACGATGGTTGCCTGTAGAAACCGCACAGCTAGCCATGTACTCTTTTCATCCAGAGTTTCAGCAAAGCATATCTGCTGCACAGGTCCGGCAGTCGCCATCCACAGCGCCTTTCCCCGGCTCCGGAGAGTCGGTACGTGACATAACCTGTCACCATCCGGAGGCCATGGGACACTCTCTTCGTCCAATTCCACAAGTTGGATGGATGTAGCAGAGTCAGCGTCAGCAAGAACTGCAATTGGTATAGCGGAACGGCCACAACTGCGGTAGTTAAAGTTGACCGCGGTTCCAACAGCCAAAAGATTAGAAACGTTGGGGTCGAACTTGGTTGCAGCAACGGTGATTGCTCGGGACGAAACTTCATATCGACTTAACAATCCCAGGCCAGGCGCTAGCTCTGGCCTCACTTTCAGTAAGGCCTCCTCCTTTTTGCTGGTTAATGGCGCGCTGCTTTCGTGGATGTTACTCCAAGCGCTCGACGCAGGTAGGGAACATTTAAAATGACCGTAAAAGATAAGCGCCGGCTCTTTTTGTAAAACAGCATTAGCATGCATAAAAATAGCCCATATACAAAACGCAATTAACCAACTAATACCTCTTTCGATCTTGCGTGAAAATTCCCATATCTGCAGGTCTGGTAGATAAGTTGCAGTGCCCAATTGCCCGTAATGCAGGGTGTTTGTTCGATGGTCACCCATTTGGTTTTCGCTTAACATTGGTTTCAGGTATATAGAACATCATATCAGGCCAAGTCGAACTCAGTCCACAATAGTAGCAATATGTATTGGAGAGTTAGGAGGAGTCTGCGGATGCGGGCAAAAGACATGTATATAGACGTTCTGACGCAGGTTCGAGAAAGGAAAACCGCGGGAGACTTTTTCTGTGGGTAGCTGGCTACCAGATCGGGTTAGCGCGGGTGCTCTGTTGCGCCGCAACCCGATGAAAGTAATCACAACCAAACCTAACCTGTCAATTCAGATAAAGATACTCCCACAACTACCACACGTTGTCACCCGTTATATATACACAGACAAGAAATTTCTACAAAATGGCTACCGCTTTTGAACCCTCACTATCCACAAGTGGCATGCGCCCGCCTCTATCAACGGCGGATGCGCCGTCCATGGCGGATCAACTTCCAAGCACCAACTTTGGCTTCGAGGACTTACGCGCCCGCATGGCACAATTCACAGCAAAATTCGACAGTTTTATTGAAAGGGGGAGGAAACAAGTACTCGAAGAGCGAAACCAATTTCGCGTGAATCTCGCTGAGCTACAAGGTATGTGCTGTATTGCTCCACCATTGTGCCTGGTTCATTGTTTATAGAAAATAAGTTTTTTCGCAATATCTATCCATCTATATGTATCTAGATCATCACATCACACATACATAACGATAAATATATTTACATTTATACGTATAAACAGAGGACCGCCGCCTAAAACAAAAAGACATCGAAATCCTCAACCTAAAATCCCAAACACACGCCCAAACCCTGCAAAAGGAAGCCGCAGAAGCCTCAGAAATGCACGAGGCCATCGCAGCCATCACATCTCAGCGAGACGCCCGCCTTGCCACCCGTGACCGTCTCAAGCAGCAAATTGAAGAGACCCAGAAGACCATCAGCCAACGCCTGGAAGCGCAGCGGGCTCACGCGAGACACCTGGATGCCCAGGCACGCCTGAACACGCCCGAACTAGAATTCTGGCAGGATTACCTGTGTCTGCGCATTGAAGGGGCTGGGCGTGAGGATCGTCTTAGGATTGTCTATACCCATTTGCTGGAGAAGGATTGGGAGCGGGAAGCGTGGTTTGAGCTTGGGACGGCGAGTAGGGATTATGAGATTTTTCATTGTAGGCCGAAGTTGGAGAGGGGTCTTGTGGAGCAGGAGTTGATGATTGTGAATGATGATAGGGATTTTGGGGGTTTTTTGAAAAGGATGAGGAAATTGTTTGTTGCGGCTATGAAGTAAGTGGGTTGGGTTGTTGGTCCCTTCTTTTCTTTTTTTGGAGTGGAAGGAATTTAATGATTTTTATGACTTTTATGACGTTTGGAGTAGGCGGGGGGGTTTTTTTTTCTTTTTCTTTTTCCATTCGTGGAAAATAGTTTTATTTAATTACCCCTGTATTTATTCATCGCATCAAATTTCGCATCAGCTTTCATAAAAGGGTGCACCCGTCGGGCCCCCATTTCCCAACTTAATTGAGTCCACTTTGCACTCCATATAACTCCCTCCTCCCTCCCCGTTCTCAAACCCCCGTAGCCTCGCGATAAAAGGTGATACTGCCCTTAGCACTCGCCGTGACAAACTTCTCCGTAGTTCCAACTTTAAGCAACCATCTCGCACTCCATATAGCCACATCGGACTCAGAAAGCGTTGCCACACACGCTCTCCGCTCAACTGACCACACTTTAACTTTCCCATCAAGCGCTCTATAGCTCAAAACTGGTCAGATACTTCTCTCAATACCAATGAGTTGAAAGAACGAAGGAGAGGTTGAAGATGCGGTCCGAGACGAGGGAATAAAATCCATGAACATGTGAATAGAGATGTATCAACTTACGAACTCAACAGGAATTCACCAGTATGACTCCAATCAAGAGAGGTAATCCAAGACGTATGTCCCATCAGCGCAGCAACCTGCTCCCCCGATGAAGTTTCATAGAGCTGAATCACTCTCGAGTCACCCGCGGCTGCAAGAAGTTTACCACCCGGAGAGAAAGATACAGCTCGAACGGAGGAGACAAGGCCTGGGGAATTGAGTTTAGTATATGTCTCGCCATCAGTTTATGGGAGGTTAGGGTAAGAAGAGGCAAATCTGATCAATACCGGATAAAGAATGTATCATTCTCCCCGTCTCGTTCAGAAAGATATAGACGTTTCCATTCGCGTGGCCGGATGCTGTCAAGCAGCCATCGGCCGACTGGAGACATAATCATTTTCAGTGATCAGTATGCCACCACCATGGGGGCGTAACTATGGTTTGAACAACATGAAGGGGGAAAGCATGAATGCATGGAGTTAAAATTACACACCAGGGCAATACACATCCCAAAGCTCCCCTTCGTCTCCAGATCGCGGATGAGCTCCACATCATCCTTCTGGATATGCCAGACTTTAATACGGCCATCCAGCGTCGTGCCGGCCAGATACTCGCCATGAGCCGACAAAGCGACAGCCCATATCTCGCTGACCTTTTTGCTTTCTAAATGTACAAATATATTTTGTCAGTTTTTTACTTCCCTTTCATCAGACCCTTTCACAGAAATAATACTTTTTAAATATGAAAATAAAAATCATTACATACCTTTCACCCCCCCTTCCTCTACCCACATCCCATCCACAAACGACCACAGCTTAACCTCCCCCCCAAAACCGACGCTGACGAATCTCGTTCCATCCGCGCTGGTGGCGAGGTGGTGGCAACCAATCTTGTGCGCGGCCTCAATGGATTGGGCTATGGGGAAGTCTGTCTCTGTTCCTGTGCCCGTTGGCGTTGGTGTTGTTGAGTGGACTTTGAGCGACGAGGCGCCCGAGCATGATATCACTTGGCTCGGGGTCACTGCCAGAGAGAATATTTCGACGGGGTGAGCTGTGAGAAGTGATTTAGTTAATTGGTTTTCATGTTTTTTTGTTTATTTGTTTCCCCTTGTTTTTGGGTGCGTTTGGGGTGCAGGGGTTTGGGAATTCTTATAATTTTTTTGATAGGTTGGTGGCGGTTGGGCCGGGCAAGGGGATGTGTAATACCATTGTCAATTGTATGAAGGGTCAAGTATTGCTTTGACTATTTCTCTCATGTGTTAGATTTATGTTCGGTTTAGTAAATTGGTCACTTAAGTGCCGGCTTACCATGTTTAAGGACCTGGTCTCTCTTTCATCATAGTGGTATTGGGTGGTGTTCGTGAGGAGTATGGATAGTTGTTGGAGTTGGAAAAGATGTCAAAGATATGAGGGTGGATGAAGAGATTTAATTCACCAGATGTTGTGAATATATTACGGAAGTAACAAAATAATCATACTGATATCACCAATACCATTGGATATTTACAAATTCCAAATAGAATGGATTGAACATGTATCTCACAGCTACCTACATCTACATCTGTAACTGCGTGCTACTGCCAATCCTGATAAGATACCAAGACAAGCCGCTTGTCGTCAACAACGATCTAATTCCGTCGGATATAATATAAAAAGGGATATAAAAATATAATACAAATACAATTGAATCATGACCTCAAACCGAACGCCAAATGCTATGCCATAAAACATCCCTCTGTATTCTTTTCCGTCTTTGTTGATACAGCCCCCTTCTACATCCTCCCAAAAGTAAGAAACTAGAAATTATGCACATATATATATATATATATAAATCAAGAGCTTTTCGCCCTCTCCTTCTCAGCCTCTTTCCATTCCTGTCTGATTTCTGCGCAAGACCAGTTAGCTCCAATTCCTTGCCCTTCTTCCAGTTTTCCAGCCCCCACATATCAAATTGCACTTACCAGCAACACACGTCGGACACAGCAAATGCGCCCTCTTCGGCTCTCCACAGCTAGAACACCTATTGAGGTCCAGATGGTCCTTGAGGGCCTTCCCGGCCATCTGCCGGTGTCTCTTCTTCATATGCGATGTCTTCTTTTTGGGCACGGCGCGCAGGACGGAATCCCAGATATCGGAGAGGATGGCCGGGATGCCGAGGGTGAGGGCTGCGGGTGCGGTAAAGAGGAACCCGGGGGTGTATCGGAGCAATTGGCTTGGGGAGAAGAAACGGTATGACCTCGACAGTAGGGGGAAGTTGAGGCGGGGGAGGCGGGCCAGCATTGTGGCGGAGGAGAGGGATGATGGAATGGCCATTGTGTTGAAAAGAGAGAGAGAGAGAGAGTGTGTGTGTGTGTGTGTATGTGGGTTGTGGGTGGGATGGCCCGGGGAGGCCAAATTGGGGTGGGGAGCGTAAGGTAGGGGGAATTGCTATCCCAACTGAGAGGAGTATATAGTGTACCTAGTGTACAGAGGAACAGAGTGCTGGCTGTTGCTGTTGAATAATAAAAAATGCCTCCTTGGACTGAAAATAATTTTCCATGGAATTTGTGATAGGCAGAGCCCAGCTGACCGCACCAGTCCCAGAGCAGTCTAGCCCGGGTGGTCCGCCCCTGATCGACCCAGTTTCTTGTTTCTGCTGGTCCACTGCAAATAATAAGAATAAGGGGGAAAGTCTCAGTCTCCTGTTTATCTGTCCCGGACGACTTCTCCCTGGCTTCAACTCCCTTCCACCAACGACCAACCTTTTTCCTCCCCTCTCCTTGGTCCATCTCCTCCTCCTGTATCTTTGCCGTGGTGACTGAGTTGCTTCGTGTTCTTTTCATCTTTCTTAGCTCTCTCTTCTGCTTCCCCCAAAGCATTCGTATTGGCGTCACATTCCACATCTTGCTACGATGGCTTCACCTCTATCTCCCGTTTCTGCCCAGAGCACCGTCTTCCCCAGGAGCCATGTTGGTTTCGATAGCATCACTTCTCAGATCGAGCGGAAGCTGCTCAAGCGTGGCTTTCAATTTAACGTCATTTGCGTTGGTACGTCTTGTGCCGTTCCCGACTCTCCAGGTTCCAGACTCGCTCTTGACCGTGGTCCCCTCAAACCCAACCCATTTGATACATATCTATATACATCAAGAACTCAAAAAAGGTAAATAATTTAATTAACGCTGGTGGTATTCCGTTAGGCCAAACGGGACTGGGCAAGTCAACTTTGATCAATACCATCTTCGCATCCCACCTGATTGATTCAAAGGGCCGTTTGAGGCCAGATGAGCCCGTGCGTTCCACTACCGAAATCCAAGCGGTCTCGCATAGTACGTGTCTCTCCATAGCGAACGAATCCTATCTCCAGTTGCCATACATGAAATAATATATCGAATACTTATCATTTCCTCGCATCCGTACAGTCATCGAAGAGAACGGCGTACGCCTACGCTTGAACATCGTTGATACCCCGGGTTATGGTGACCAGGTTAACAATGATAGATGGTATGCGAAAATCATTGCCCAGGTGGGATCAAAAACATAGCAACTATTTACTGATGAAGATATCTCCAGCTGGGACCCAATTGTCAAGTACATTAAGGATCAACACTCCGCATACCTCAGGAAAGAACTTACCGCTCAGCGTGAGCGGTATATCCAGGACACCCGTATCCATTGCTGTTTGTTCTTTATCCAGCCCTCTGGACATGCGTACGTCTCTTTCTATTTTAACTATTTGAAATCTAATGCATTGCTAAAATAAAAAAATGACAAATAAACAGTTTGAAACCAATTGATATCGTCGTCCTCAAGAAGCTCTCCGATGTTGTCAACGTTGTTCCTGTCATCGCCAAGTCTGACTCCTTGACCCTTGAGGAGCGAATGGCCTTCAAGGAAAGGATCAAGGAAGAATTTGCCTTCCACAACCTCAAGATGTATCCATATGATAATGATGAACTGGACAACGAGGAGCGAGCCGTTAACGCTCAAATCAAGGTAAAATCTGCAATCTACTCATTTGCATATTCCACATATATAGAAGTAACCCCAATACCTAACTAGATATGCAGGATATCATCCCCTTCGCCGTCGTCGGAAGCGAAAAATCCATCATCGTCGCCGGCAAACAAGTTCGCGGCCGCCAGAACCGCTGGGGCGTGATAAACGTCGAGGACGAGAGCCATTGTGAATTCGTCTACCTCCGCAACTTTCTCACCCGTACCCACCTCCAGGACCTGATCGAAACCACCAGCCAGATCCATTACGAGACATTCCGCGCCAAACAACTCCTGGCCCTCAAGGAGAGCAGTGCCACTGGCCACTCCAGTGGCAGCCGACCGATAAGCCCATCTACAAACAGGGAATTGAGCAGGAGCTCTCAAAGAATGAATATGAACGGCTATAACTAGATGGCAACGTAGCCGGTGCGTGTTATATCCTTGCCGGAAGAATCTCTGGATTAGCTTGCATTGCATTCTTCCGTAGATGCAATACCCATCGGCCCCTGCACTCTTACCCTCCCTACCACCTAAACTTACACCTGCACCCGTATTTTACGCGTAGGCTCCACAGCTAGCGGTGCAGATAGGAACTGTGTTTAGAGAACCTTGCGCAAATTCTTTTCTCCAATCTCCTGACCAACAATATACTTAAAGATACTTAAAGTCTTTTACAGATATCCCTTTTTTAACTAGTTTTTTATGTGTGCTTTTCCCCTTTTTTTCCCTTTTTCCTTTTCCCCTCTCTCCAAGTTTCCCCAATCTTCACCCCTTACTTGCTCTTGCTAGGCCATTGTCTTACCAGCGATGCGTGTGCTTTGGTCAGACATTACTTTTTCCCTACCTTTATATTTCCATGTTGAAGGAGAGGGAGTTTTTTAAAATAAAAAAGGAATAGTGAGGAATTGAGTTAGTGACAATATGCGAGTATGAGGCTCTTTTCTTTTTTCTTTTTATTCTTTTCCGAGTTAATTAGTTATAAGCGCTTTTATTATATCCTTGATTTTTCCAAGTGTTTTAATTTTAGCCTTATTATATTTTCGTAAAGAATCTGAGAAGTCTTTTTGCTCCTTTTTGAAGATTCACTTGCAATATGTACGCATGTTTTTATATTCTACTTTGAATGAGAGTTCTCTATAGCTTCTGTCTCTCCGCATGTGATAGGAAAGACCAAAAGAGGCTGAAGGAAAAATGCTCTCTCCATGAAATAATCATCTTCAGGTCTCAGTTCAGTATAAAGGTAGGGCTATCGAAGAGATATTGTCCCTATATCTTGCACAAGAGAAAAGCAGGACACAAACAAAACAGAATCCCGTATTCCCAAAAAACCACAGCAGAAGCTCTATACTGTACGTAGTTATTTAGCCGTGCCGGATATCAAAAACTATCAAATCAGACAAATACATACCCATCCATCCATCCACTCATTATATATAAAAAGAATCCCCACCAACAGATCACACGTCCCCTTCCCCTTCCCCATCCCCATTCCCCACTCAATCCCCATCCCCAAACCTCCCCCCATCAACCACCCACTCCCTCAACGCCCCATATGCGGCCTCCAACTCATCATTAACAATAACTAAATCATGAACGCCCGGCTCTTTCGCGAACTCCAGCTCCTTCCGCGCCTGCTCCAGGCGCGCCTGAAGACTCTCCTCCGTCTCCGTCCCGCGGCCACGGAGGCGCTGCTCCAGTACCTTCAGCGAGGGCGGCGCAACGAAGAGGAAGCGCGCGTTTAGATCTGTGCGTTTTACTTGTTTGACACCCTGTGTTGTGGAAGGTGGGTTAGGTTGGTTGGTTGGGTAAGGGGATGTGTGTGTATGGGGGGGGGATCTTAATATACCTCCATCTCAATATCCAGGACGCAAATGCGCTTCTTCTCCGCTACGTCTTTTACGGCCTTAGTGCTGGTACCGTAGTAGTTCCCGCTGAACTGGGCCCATTCTATAAAGCCCCTTTCGTCGATGAGGGATTTGAAGGCATCTTTTGTTGTGAAGTAGTATTCGCGGCCATCTTGTTCGCCGGGGCGTGGAGAGCGGGTTGTATCTAATGTATTTTTTGTTCAAGGGTTAGGGTTTTTTTTTCTTTCTTTCTTTTTCTTTTTCTTCCAGATATAATAATTGGTATAATAGCTGAGGGGATTGGTAAGGTTGTAGAAGGGGAGCTCGTTGTGGTGGGGAGTTTCGGTGTGGTTATGCTTACGAGAAACTGAAAGGGCAAATGTGTCTGGGTAATCAGCGAAGAGTCTTTTTATCAGAGTTGATTTGCCCGTGCCGGACGGTCCTGATATTACTACGGGGCGGAACTTGCGTACTGCTGCTGTTGGGGTTTCTTCCATGAATTGGTGTGTGTGAGATGGCATATGCGAGAGGATCTGGGGGGTGTAGGAAAGACATTACCTGCAGCAGCCATTGAAAATGCCCTGGAGAAAGGAATGACTGTGGTTGGGGAAGGGGGTTAAGGGAGCGGCGAAGACGGAAATGAGCGGGGCCGTGAGAATTTTAGAGCTCGGAAGTGAGCGCGGGGATATCTCGGAGTTGATATCTGCGATTTATTTATATCTTCCCTTGAAAGCGGTTATGGCTGGGTTTCGGTTTCTTGGCAGGGGAAGGATGTTTTCACGGGGAAACCTCGGGGAAGTTGAACCCGAGGAGCTTACAGCTTGCCACAGTCAAGACCTTGGGAATGGAATAAGCCAGGATATGGCATTATTATGTATCTATCTATGTATTGCACACATCCATCAGGATGGCAAAGGTAGTAGTGTGGAAAGAATACTAAGAATATTGCATAGCACTCGTCGTACCCCATAGCCTTTTATGTTCTGTCAAGCTCTTTGCAAATGCTACAGCTACAGCTACATCTCGATAGTATATACTCACTCAGATATACAATACATTAAGGATAATACGCTTTTGCAGTAATCAACACCTCTTGGAGTAGAGAAAGGTCAAGACCCTCTACTGTTGTGAGAACCTAGGCTGAACAACAAAGGAAACAGATATACCACTGTTATCAAAGTGGGAGACCAAAGGTGATGAAGTGAAAAGCAGAAAATAATGGACTTGGCTTGGACCAAAAGAAACGGGAAAAAAGTGCAATGATGCAGTACGAAAAAGTAATGTATATACATATATATGTATGAATAAATGGATAAATATCATATAGACGGCGATGTAGGAAATGCTTCTGGCTGACTCCGCCCCTTCGACTCTTTCTTCTGCGCGGCCTCCTGCTCCAGGAAATTCGACCAGAGTTCCGCTAGCGATTCTTTGCGCGTGTTTCCATTCTCCGTGAAATACTCAGATGCAAGGGATGGCGAGCTTGGTATCCGGTACACGAGTGATGACGCACTGGGGACTCTGAGGTTGCTGAATCCACCTGAAGTTCCAGGGCGGGCAAGGCCAGCTTGTTCTCGTTGCTCTGAGGTGGTGAACATGGTGACGTTAGATGGAACTTGTTCCTGGATGATAAAATACGGCTAAGAGGGGATTCGAGTGTAACATACCGTCCGTCCATCCCAATAGAGCGGATATGAGTTGCAAGACCTGGAATTTCTTCGGATCTGATCGATCTAGCGCGAGGAAATGGAGGAAGTGGTTCGTGACGAGGTGTCTGAGATATTTTGATTAGCCACTGTACTGCGTATGGGTAAAATATAAAGTAGATAGATAGCACCGACCTGTCCACGTTATCTTCTGGTTTGCCCTTCTTCAGAAACCTCAGAGCTTTGGTAAGGTGCTCGTTTAGAGTCACGGCTTCATGACGCAGTTTGCCAATGAGCAGGTTTTTCTCCCTGACCTCTTTTTCAAAAGGTCGAAGCCGTTCCAACTCCGCCTCAGCCTCTTCCAGTTTTCTTATGGTTTCAGTCGTCCCCTTCTCAGCTTCCTGTAATTTCTTTCTCTGCTCTTCCAACTGCGCATCTGAGCTCTCCACTATATCTCGCAGTTCCTGCTTTCGAGCTATGGAAGACTTGCATTAGCAACAGAGTAATGTAATTAGAGGACTTTTGTAAGAAACAATGGAAAATAAGACTTAAGAGACAAAGCCATACCAGTCTGTATTTCTTGGAGAGCCCGCTGAAGCCCATCAACCGTGACTGCCTGGCTATCACGTTCTGAAGATGCCTTCTCGTACTCGCTTTTCAAGACGACCAGCTGCTCCTCCAGGTCAACCACCTTCTCCTCAAGGCTTTCTCGAATAGATCGTTCCTCCATCGCCAGAATCTCCCAGTTGTGCATAGCTTGCCTGGCCTCCTCGAATTCCAAACGCGCATGCTCCTCTCGTTCCGTGAGCTCCTCTCTCTCCCTCAGCCAATTCTGCTGTGATAAATTCGTCCGATTTCGCAAACTGGACAGCTCCTTAGATTGTTGTTCCCGTTCCTTCTCTAACGATGCCACGACGGCCAATTTCGTATTTACCTCTGTTTTCAGTGCGGCGTTTTCATCCTCAAGCTCCTTGATCCTACTCTTCGTATGTGCCAGCTCCTCCTGTACAACCCGTTCTGTAAGCAAATGAAAACATAAAACAAAACAAAAGAGAAGTTAACTGTCTCAACACATAAACACGAACACAACCCCATAGCAAACAGAGATGACATACAGCATCAGCCTTCAATCTCTCCCCCAACTGCGACTTAATCGTATTAACTTTCCCCAGCAAATTTCGAAACTGCGTGTCCGCATGCTCTTTCTCATTCCGTGACTGCTCCAGTTGGCTCTGCAGAGCGCTCATCTCCTCATCGTGCTTGGACTGTATCTTTTCTAGTGATATGCGCATCTCGGCTACTTCGGCGCGGAGGGAATCACGATCTCGCACAAGGGCATCGAACCTGGGGTTCGAATCAAGGGATTGCACATCGTTATCGTTGTCGTTATCTGCCGTTGTTTGCATATTCTCCGTCTTTGCTGTGGCCAGAGTCTCCTCTCCTCCTTTATTGTCATTGTCATCTTCTGAATCTGGTGTTTGATTCCCGTGAGAGCCGTTGATGAAGGTCTCAGTAGTGGCCTAGGTAATTTCCAAGATTAGCCATGAAAATCTCCTACCTGACCTCTCCTATCTTCCATGAGATCTTCCATGAGAGCAACATACCGATGACGGAATTGATTGCGATGGCTGGTCTTGGTCCTGGCTGATGTGCGCGGTCTGCTCTTGTTGAACGGCTACCCCATTAGCTTTTGCTCTGGCGTTTGCTTTCTTCCTGTTATTTTTCTTGGATTTCCCACTCGTTCCTACACGATTTTTCGTGACGGCGTTAGTCCTCTGACAGACTAGCCCGTTGGCTATTGGGTGAAATAAGAAAGGTATCTAATTACCTTGTGGTGCTGAGGTTGACGTATCTACCGGCATCGTAACTGTAATGACGCTCTTTTTTAATAATCAATCAATAGATAAGTAAATAGTTCCACTCTCTGCCTTTCATTCTCTCATTCTCTTATTTGTCGTCAAGGAGATGTGAATCGGGACGGGCTGCTGTTGAATTCGCAGGGAAGTGGTTCGGTACGTTCGCATGGGAAGGGAGATGTGTTCGTTTAGCGTGCGCCTGCAGCGTCTGAATAAGAAACTAATGCCACAATAGGTCCACTCGAACTGCTGTGTTATGTCTATCGATAACCAACACTTATCAAGCCATCAGGACGAAAATGTGCTTTTACCTTAAGTTTCAGAGCAGTTTCGAATATGAAAACAAGGGTATCATTTGACGATCAAGATTTATTTGATGTTGAATAGAAGCGGGATGGGCTTGGGTATTTCTGTCAGTCATGCTTTTGTTACTGTGGGTTTCATTGGCTCTTTTTACTAGTTTTCGGCCAGCAGAAGAAGCTTGGAAAATGGATCTTTTACTCTAGATCAAAGCCAATGTGAGACATCTCATGAAGCTATACTCTGCAGACCGCTGATCGGAGTTCTAGGATTTCATATTCACTGCGGGGTGCGGACGTCAATCTTTGAAGGGAAAAGAAGACGAGGTTTCTTCACCCTCCTGGTTATCTGCGGTTACTGATGAAGGTGGACGAGACACTACACGAAAGGTTGGGATATGCTTAAAGTTGTTAAAACCTCAACCGTGAAGACTTTTGCCGCTCTATGTATGCGTTTTCCGACGCTAGAACACCCTGAGAAGCTTTTAACTACTGAAGCCGCTTATATCATAGCAAACTAGTGACTGCATTCAGCATATCATTCTGAAATGCCAACGTAGCTGAACATTGTTTTCATCTTTCACCCAGTCCTCTGAATAAAACTCCCAAAATATTCTATATCATTGATCCTATCCAACTCCTCACCTCACTAGCCTAGAAATTGTTTTCCAAAAATGAAAAACCCAGCGAAGTCCTATCCAGTTTCGTCTCTGCGGACATATAGAGGTATATCGATCGAAGAGAATAGATATTTTTGAGGAGCTGTTGTAGGGATCCATTTGACATACGCTTTCAGGAGAAAAGAAGTTTTTCCTGTAGCCATTAAAAGGGTTAAAAATACTCTCCCGTCACATAAAGTCGTCCAAAAAGTTCGGGTCCCGATCTTGGTTGCTGCTCTGCTGAATATTCTCCTCATTCAAAAAGTCATCATAAGCATGCTCCTTCTGCCACTTGAGCTCCTCCCTCTTTTTCCGCTCTTGTTTCTCTGCAGCCTTCTTTTCCTCTCTCAACTTCCGTTCCTCCCGTCTGATCTTTGCCAGGTATTCTTCCTTCTCCGCTCGTAGATCGGGGAACTTCTCAACACGAGTTTTGTTCAGGCGGTTGACGATGGGATTTTGACGGGCAGCAACATGGACCTTGCGCGTAAGCTTGGGATTATGGAAGCCCACTTGGCCAACGGCCATGCCGGCTGTTTTATGTAGGTTTGACCACGGCGTGTATATAATGGTGACGTTGTCCTTTTTATTTCCTATGTTCAGATGTCCCTCAGTTATAGAACATTTAAACAAGAGAGGAACAAAAGGGCACCTTCTATCGAGTTTGCTTTAGTGAGCTGGGCGCAATCCACCAATAAGTCATGGGGGATATTGTCCCATGTCTCGCCTTCTCGGAGGCGGAGATATACGTGTGCACTGGATAGGTTGTCGGCATGAAACTAATGGATCGAATTGTAAGATAGTGCGCTATTGATCTTTCGCGAGATGGCTTTTTTTCTTCCCTTTCTGGCGGGAATAATTACACACCCTACAACAAACTCATCAGCATGGTTCTGCAGCTGGGCTTGAAACATTTTCATCCTGCCAAAAAGGTATCTACCAGACATCGCATTCCAGGCCATACTTTATCAACTCCTCATCTGCTGACTATCAGTATCGTGGCATGACAATCTATACAACGATGGCAAAATCCTCATCCCTACTTTCGACCTTATCCTTGCCGACATAGATGAGTGCGGCGGATGACACAACATTAGACGTAAAGTAATAGACCATTATAAGAAAAGTTGTGCCTTTGTCGCTGTGAATATTTGGGTTTTGCAGATTTATTAATAAAGCTCTCTCCCTAAACGCACACACTGGCCGATCCTCCAACATACAACTGCTGGAGGTTGTTGTTCAGGACATCTGCTTGTCGTTAAGTGCCGCAAGAAATTGATTTTCAAACTGTAGGATGGATCTGATTTTATATCACGTGAATTTGAGCTGCTTATTCATCTCAGGATAGCGCTGTTCCGGACTTGTCTATTTTTTTATGTTCATTTGGTTTAAGATACGTCGTAACCTTGGGGACAACAACTAAGATTGGATTTTATATTACCTCTTTTGAAGAGCTATTACTCGTTATTCATTCATCTCTTTGCTAATAGGGCCCGTATTGTGTATGTTGTTATTGTGCATAAAATTCCAGCATATAAATCCGCCGTTTATTAATATCGCCTTTCGATCGGCTTTTTAGTCTCTGGCAATTTAAAACCTATTGGCTTGAACCCCTTCTGGGATTTTTGAATTGGACCCGGAAGGATTCGATATGGTGAAAACAAGATCCCTTCTCTTAAAATCACCAGAATCTCTCGCATCAATGAAACACCAATGACATCAAGGATGATTCTTCAAAAGAACTAAGGAAAAAAAAAAAAAAAATCTCCTCTTCCAAAGATAACGCAAACACGGCTACCCTGTATTGTTCTTGAAATCGTGTTCTGTTTCCCCTAAGCTGCTTGCGTAGGAACACACCACTTAATTGCCTGGCTCGATTCGCCCTGGACCAAAGGGCAGAGCACACTAATCAAGACCACGTAATTACCTCCCGAGCGCACCATAATGAAACTGTGCGGCATTGCGGCAGCTCGGGAACTGGGTAAAAACATGATCTTCGTGAAGGTGCAAGATTTTGCTAAGCTTGATCAGTACTTGGGCATTCTTGCGCATTCCATTTCAAAACATGTGCCCAATTGTGTGATGGAATAGAAAAAAAGAGTCACAATCAAGAAACCCAATGGACGGCGCTTGGGCATGACAACTATTTATTTGCTCGAAGCGCGTTACTCATGATGCGAATTGATTGGTAACTAAATGATTGGAAGGATTTGACAGTGAGAAGATGAAATAAAGGTGAAGATGCGGAGGGATCAAAACTACCCATGGCGTACTCCTGGTAAGTAACTAATAAACCCGCTTGAAGTGGACAACATCAGACACGAAGTAGACACGGTGTAGTTATTAACATTCTGTTCAATGGCATGATTTCTATTGAAATGGATAATGATATACATCGTTTACATATTTTGTCTAAAACGGTCCGCCCTAAAACGCCGGAGGGTACCCAGTAACAAGACAAGAAGAAAAAGAAAGGTAAATCCTCCAAATGAGTTCCCAGCCCCAAATACGCATAGATCAAATACGCATAGATCCTGGAATATAAATCACCAGCTCGCCTTCCTGACACCCGGAAGGTTCCCAGCCAGAGCCTGCATTCGAAATTGGAACTGTACAAGAAAAGTTGCAAAGTTAATCGACGTAGAAAGTGGCCCGGACAGTAGTATCCAGTCTGCAAGGAGTAAGGTAGGGCTTCTTATTTTTCAGATATTAAAAGTATTCTAACATCCATGGATCAGTCTCATCCAAACTGGATGGTCCAGATAGTGTGTAAGGCCGTAAACCTTGTGCAAACAATCAATATCTCTCTGTTTTTATTTCATAATTGCCACGTAGTGAGTAGGCGTTCTGTATCGTCTCCTGCTGGTGAAACAAAGAATTGCACCGAGACAATAAACCTGGACGGGTGGCTGGGAATACTCCGAAAGTTAAGAGATTTGCTGCCATGCGAAGGTAACTTCGTTCCTAGAAAGTGTGCCTGGGTATGTACAGGCAAGAAAAGACTAAGACAGCCCTCAACTCAACTCTCTTTATGCAAAAGGTGTCGGATTCCTAGGCTCATACAGAGAACCGAGAGTGATAGACCGTTGTATATCTTCATATCTTTCCTTTAGGGCAGATCGCTTAGCCAACCATGGGATTAAAGAGCTATGGTGCTCCGTTTGACGATTCCGCAGCTTATGCTCCTTAACCTCTCACATATCGACCAATACTTGCAACGTCCAAGGCAACCCACATTATTGCACAAGTGTGATCGAGTTCCAGCTCAATGACCAAGTTGCCTTCTTCAATGCACTGCGCCTGTTGGTATTCTAAACTTTGGACATGATTGGCGTGTTCTCTGGAGCTGGTGAAGAATCGCTAAACGCGCATTTGAACTCCAGACAACCCTTACTCTGATGACATGGCTGCATCAATAATAAAACTGGATGGTTGAGTTGTGTTGTACCCTTAAACACATCTCAAAGGGATGTATCTAGGTCAGATGCAAAGCTTGGCTCATGAATATCCTTGGAAGACCTCGAGTCGGTGCGTTACTGTGCTGGATATTTCTCCAAGCGCGTTCCTCAGTTCAAATCCGACGCGTAAAGGCTGGGCCATCTCCACTCCTTTGTCCTCCACTTCTGTGACTCAATACGTCAGACCACGCCAGAATACAAATTATTCAAGAAATGAAAGGCGGCGCAGAAATTAAAGCAAAATATTCCTACATGTTGGTTTTGTGGAAGAGTGAAGGGCAGCCTTAAGTGAACAAGAAGGCGGCAAACGCTTGACATGATCGCACCGAATGGGCAGAACCAGATGTGATGAATGTCTGGGACCGGGTTTCCAGTTGCTTGGGCCACTTTTCAATATATATAATTATGTCTGACCCATTTATTACCAGAGAACCGGTCCGCTGCAATGGTCCCTCCCGGTGAGATCTCACCAATTTAGTTTGGTTGGCACGCGAGCTTACATTTCTGAAATAGCAGCTCTGACTGCTATTGCCATCGATTTGCATCAAAAACACAACCTTTCGTCGCGGACATCAAAATCACTAATGCACTACTCACGCGGGAGAAGACAGGGTCATCTTACCTCAAGCGTTCGCGGCGCAACTACACGTGAGAAAAGAGGTTGCAAACAAATGCACACCGTCCATTTACTTACTAGAAGACAGCTATTCTACAGTAACTAACGGGGATGTCTCAATGCTATCATTACCTTCAATAGTCACTCGATAAATGCCCATATCTTGGGCGCTTTCTCTGGTTGGAGCAGCCCTAACAACTTCCATTTGTTAGTCACACTAATCACCATTCCAGTGTGGATAATACTGGTAAGGTGGTTAAATGTTATTTGCTGACCCACTCGCCACATGGTGACATTCTGAGAACCGTTTCAAATAACGAATCGGCTCTGATCCCATGATCATCAGCGGGAAGAGTTCTGTTCACCTAACAAGAGGAAGAATTTGAACAAAGTAGGGCAGAGGAGAGAAACTAATGGAAAGAAATTCTAGATTAAAACTAAGGATGGTGGCCTTAAGGGATTGGACGTCGGTTCCCCAATTGCTGATGCTAAAGAAGACTGGCATCCCAGTGGGAAGGGGCTCTCTGCATTTCCTGAAGCTCCGCATTCAAACTTCTTGCATAAAGGTTAAATGGCTCTGAGTGAGCAACTGAAATAATTCAGGGATCGCTTCGAGGATTCTCATCTTTTATACTAGAGTGAGCTTTTTTCCTGGCTTTCTTTTAACTTTTCCTCTTTCATTCCCCTTTCCTTTTCCTTTTCCTTTTTCCTTTTTCCTTTCTTTCTTTCTTTCTTTCTTTCTTTTTTTTTTGTCTCTAGAAATAAATTTAAAACCCTTCACTTCCCTTCCAGCAAGCCTTTTCCTTCTCCTATTCAACTTCAGAGCTAGAAACAACTCAGCTTTGCAATGACGAAGAACGCTTCCACTTCAGATCCAGAAACAATACGAACGGCTTTGGAGGAAGCCAGGAACAGCGAAGATGGTCGTATCGACCCTAGGATGATCTCCGTTCTCGAAACAGCTATAAGTGAAGTCTGGCGCAAGGTGCAAGCGGAGCCCGATACATATGTTTTAACCCGTGCCGAGTTTGCGCTCTTCAACTTCTTTCTCATCCGATATCGTGGCCCAGTTGCTCAGCGTGCTGTGGAGCGATATTGGAACAATTTCAACAGACAGCCCCCTGAGATAGTATCTGGAAATTAATGCCACACATCGCACGATATATTCTCCACATAATACACCCAAATACCATTCTCAAATCCTTCAAACTGCTGGCCTTCGGTCGCCCTCGAATTTCCTTTATGACCAGAGACCCTTGGTTCAAAGACGTTTTTTAATTGCAAATCTTCGCCCTAATCATTTATACCTTATTTTATTTCACCATTCCGCAACCTAGATCTATCAAAACGGTGCTATCTGGCTAATCAGGGGTCTCACGATTCTTTTGTGTCCAACCGTCTCTTACTTTCCTTTCCAAAATGTTACTCTTATATGTCCTGTACGCCGTGATTTTATTTTATTTTATTTTTTTTTTAATTTTTTATTTATTTTTTTTTTTCATTTTTAGCTTTTACCATGGCCAAAATCCATTCGGAATTTTTGTAGAGGCCCACAATTTTGTTACAGTTGTTGACATATTCTCCTAACTCCGTTCGTGTGTTGAGCAAACCTTCCTGCGCAATATCATTGCACCGTTTTTCTGCACCACCAGGATCACCGCCAAAATACCTCCCTCATTCCATCGAATGTCATAGATCGCATGAAATTATTTCATTGGTGATCGTTTTGATTCCGACAACTAACCCATTCAAACATTCTGGACAAGGAGATTGAATGGCGCATTTCAAAACTGCAACCATGTTCCCGAGACACACATGCTTCACTCCATACAGGTACCCGCGGATATGACCAGCGTCAAAAACGGGTTACCAACTGGCCTGGGACTTGTTCCACAGAGGTCTGCCACGGTGTCAGTGAGCGTGGTTCTCGTTCAAATACCCTGAAACTTCGGTTTGTTCGGTATTCCTTGACAAACACAATTGCGCAGATGAGTTTTGTCGGAGGAGAGGTTTCCTTTCGCTGCGTGAGCCCGTCGATACCTCGGTATACAGAAGTTACCCTCTACCCGGTTGCAAAAGTTCGGTTTGGGCACGGTGGTATGTACGAAGATAGTTGTGTGGTGACGTGTCGGGCATACGACGAGGGCTTTTAGGCTAGTCTCTTTCACCGATTCTCAAATATCATGAAAGTGCAAGTTCTCTACAGGGTTCATCTGCTACATCTTTCTCCCTTTTGCAAATGTGTCTGCCATAATTCAGCTGTTGTTTGTATTTTGCTCTTCTTCCATTTATTGTTTCTGGCTATTACGTGCTCTCCACGCCCAACTTTGAGAAATTTCCGCATACAACAGGTTCGCTTTGGCTATATAATGTTTTCCTCTAGAACTCAGCTTCATTTCTAATGTTTGGCCGCCACCAGCTACTATCTACCCTCTTTATTAAGTCCTGTCGTCATGTCACCTTGATTTTTAACATAGCTTTCACGAAACCTAATGCTATGCCATCATCCGGGCGAAGGCAACTGAGACAGACCCGCTGTGCTCAGTGCCCGACAGGCACCGCAGAAGATTTCTCTGTTGTTTATCATTGGTCGCCTCGTTGGTGACTTTGCCTCACTGTCCAACAGCATCCCTCACAGGGCAGGGCAGGGCAGTGCAAAGCTCGTACAGCAACATATCAGCCGCAAAACGCTCCGTCCAGATTAACGATTAGAGAGCAAAGAGTTTGAGAGTAGTTCAAACTTTTGCCTGTTGCTTTTTCTTAATTTTTGTATACTTTGGGGAATATCCTTGACATGCAAATTCGGCAGCCCGCATTCCTGGGTATGTCGGCAGTCGTCCAGACATCAGCGAGCCTAGAGTTATATATCGGGTAGTTACCCACTCCTAGAGATGCATAAAAATGCACAACATAATTGCAGCCCTCGCTGCTCTGGGATTTTCCGTTTGCGGTATAACTACACAAACGAACAGGCAAAAAATAGGCTAACCGGTGTCTATTGCCCTTTTCAACAATCTTTACCAGGACTTCTCATGGACAAAACATGCTATATTATTATTATATCTCAGTCATGAGATGCCTCTGTCCATGACTTAATTCTTGCAATTTACGGGCTTCAGCTTTGGCTATCTGAAGCCGGCCGACCACACGCAAAATCACAGGCAATTGGAGGAGGGAAAAGCCTGACTCTGCATATTTCCCCCTCTAAGATCCTCCTGGACTTGCTTGCAACGCTTTCCGAAACAGCATATTGCATGCGGCTCCTACTGAATAGTCCAGAAACTTTCTGAGGGTCGGTAACCAGCCACCCGCTTCTTAGTTACCTTGTCAGACCCACCCACTGCTTGCGATTTCTTTTTCTCCCATACTTCGTATTCCCAACTCTTTCGACCTTGCCATGTGTTTGTCGAATGATGATCAAGGACGCCAACTGCATGCTCCGGTGCGAATGTTGGATCGCCGCCTCTAGATTATTCCAATAACTAGGTTCTGATGATATTGATTCTCAAGAGGTGATAAATCACCCTATATAAATTTTGCCCGAGGTGTTCGCTGCATTTTTTTTGTTCACCCTAGTAGCCAGCGATGGGAATCGTTGCTTCGGTGTTTGGAATCTATTTTTCCCCTTCCCGCTTCTCCGTTTCTTACGATCTTCTTCATTTTTTCTCTTGGACTCAGGAAAAGCCATTGATTTGATGACATTTTTGAGGCTGAGCTTGGTGCTTAGACATAACGCGGGGGTCTCCTTGAGAGTGAGTAGGAATTACCCTTCACTTGCTCCAAGAGGATACACCACCTGCTATGATATTTTCTAAGGGTATCAAAGGATCCAACGATCGACAGTAGGACTGCGGGAAAAATAAATATTTCCCCACGATGAGGGGGACGATTGATATATTTAATGTCGACGAAAATCTCACTGCATATGCATCGTGTCAAGAAGTTCGGCGATTTGGGTTCGTTACAAGATTATTTCTATTAACTGCCCATCGCCCTTCATCGCGATCTCCCCTGTTGCATCGTGAGGAATGAGGTAATCCGTAGCAATACACTAATTATCAGTTAGTTAACCGTCCTCAGTTCTATGCTTCTCTCTGTCTTCAGACGCTCCTTTTGGCCTATTGTTTCTTTATATCAATTTTTCCAGTAGTCATGTGCGGTGATGAGAACAACTCTTTAGAGCTGCGTTCCGCGTATTTCAACCACTACAAAATGGCTATTGACTAGTTACGTCTTAGATGTACGAAAGATATATATACATAGAAAAGCAACCCATTCGCCTCTATGCTCACTAGAACAAAGCGCCAAAAACATGTCAAGAGCACATCCATAACGTTCCACATGCAGCAAATGCTATTGCCATCACTGACCAGTCAATCGGAAGCTCAAACCACACCGATATGCAGGGGGAAAAGCCATATACCGCGCCTTTCTACTTCATACCCTCTCCTTACATATGTATGCATGCAGGTATGCATAGGCATCTAGACACTCCCTTGCTTGCCTACGTAGTGACTTACTCAACTATTTTTTAAAGGTGAAAGTAGTGTACTTGACAGGAAATGACCATCGAGAGATCATACACCATGATAGGCGTATTCCTCCTCGCACACCCCCAAGTTTGAGCTACATCTCTTTTTATTTCAAGTTGTGTTGATTTGATATCAGTGGTGAATATCGAAATCCCTCGTTTCCCGGTAACATCGTACGGCTGCTGCAGTGGAATATTGTCCCCCACTCTGGGGGAAACTAGTATGATTCGGTATGTAGAGATACATATGGAAACCCACGGGTTGACAAGAAGTCAGGCTCTTACCATGACTCAATAAATGCTTCCAAGCCCAGAGAAAATATTAACCGACAAAAGGTCATACACGCCCATATTAACTACCCAATGTTTATGATATAATAACATAATTGCATGGGGATGAATGCAACAGAGCAATGTTGACAGTTTGATGCCCTGTGTCTGGGAGGAGGTTGGGTTGATATTTTCGCTGGAACGAAATGCAACCAACCTAAGCAAAGTCACCTATCTCAATCAAGCCACCAACGGATGGTCGCTTTTTCCGAGTAACACAATCAAGAAAACAGGAGTGAAAGTTTTATTGGAAGTAGCAGAGTCTAGATGCTCTTTCGTATTTGTTGTTATCTACTAGATATGCAGTTAATCATGAGACATTTCAATCAAACCTATGTGACAATTGAAGCATTAAGAGGACAATAAGGGACGAACGTAACGAAACCTCCTATCGATGATATCTGCTAAATATTTCCCTAACCAATTTCTCAAATGAATCATGCTCACTGTCGCAAGAAAAAAGTTGTAATAAGGAGAGAAAAAAAAAAGGTCTGAAAAAACATTTCACCAATGGGAAAGTGTCTCATGTACGGAGAGGGTAAGAATTTTTACCACTGCTTGGAGTGGGCCTCTAAGCAGGGGGACTGGGAAAGTCTGTAGGCCCTTCTGTAACAACAGTTAGTAAACGAAGGGAAAATGTATGAAAACTAGAAATCTTACCATGTCTCGTGTAGAGCTTCCGTTCAACTTCATCGAATTTTGCCTTTCCACTTTCAACATCTTCTCGCGTAATACCCAGACGAGACTTAGGGAGCCCCATCGACAACAAGAATTTTACTGTTTCGGTCCATTCAACATTTTTCCGCTTGCTATCCCAGTTCAGCTCCTCTGCCATGAGGTCAATAATGGTTGGGAGAGCTTCAAGAGAAGCTTGTGCGTTTAAGAATGCCAGTCTAGTCCTCCGTGCCAAAACGTCCACTGCTGTTTGTGCATATTCAACCCGGGTAGCATAACGGACCTCTCCATCGATAAATGGGTATGGCGACGAAATGCGGATTCCACGCACTGGGAATCGAGTATTTGTGGGCGATGACATGGCAGCGACCTCCCACGCGCGATCACCGTAAGCCTGGGCGATATATTTAGCAACGTCTGTTGCTAATCCGAAGTATTGGATGAGGTTAATGAAGAGAGTTTTCGAATAGCCATGAGCGCCAACCAAGCGAATCTGATGGGTCTGGCAAGAACCGTCAAGGGCAGCTCCGTCATCAAAAAGGCCTCTTCCGCTAATGTCTGGAACCTTTTTGTTGGGCCATGGTTGTAAATGGAACACTTTGATAGCTTCGTCAACAGCTTCCTCGGCCATTTGGCGATAGGTTGTCCACTTCCCACCAGCACAGGTCAGAAGACCAGATTTGGACACTGTTATGAGGTGATTGCGAACCAGAGACTCTGTATTCTTAGCTGCGGGGTCTCGCACGAGAGGCCGGATTCCAGACCATGCTGCAAGAACGTCTCCACGTCTCACATTGATGTCCGGGGCAAGATATCCCCGAATTTCATTTAGAATCCAGTTTATGTCAGATTCAGACGGTATTGGTTGGGGAGAGATTGCAGAGGGGCTATCAGTTGTTCCTGCAATTGTGTTTCCCTGCCATGGAAGAAAGAAAATGACACGCCCGTCTGAGGTTGCAGGGTCGATGAGACCCATCTTAGCAGGGCTATAGTATCCCGGGAGAACAACATGAACTCCAGAGCTTGGAGCAACTATGTCCATCGCACTTTGATCATCCATCTTCCTAATGGAATCTGTGAATGGACCTGTGGCATTGATTATCCCCTTAGCCCTGACGGTTACTTCTTTCGCATCGTGTCCGCTTTTCCCTGGAATCAAGTCTTTGGCAATTGCTCCACTGAGCTTTCCTGACTCATCCTTAGTTAGTCCTGTTACTTCCATGTGGTTCACAACAGTAGCACCATATAGAGCAGCGGTTACTGCCAGGGAAACATTCATTCGAGAATCGTTGTGAGCACCATCTAGTATATGCATTAGTTTCGTTTAAACAAGAAGCGCTTCCGATCTTGGTTGTGATATGATCAAGCTTTACCATAGTAAACCAAAGCTCCGACAAGGTTATCCTTTTTCAACATAGGGAAAGCATCCAGAGCTTTGCTTTTGTTGAGGAAGTAAGAACTCTCAATACCCTCAGATCCAGCAAGTAGATCATAGAATTTAGTTCCGGCCCAGAAATACGGTAATTGCCGCCACTTTTGCACTGGGAGCATAATTGGGAGCCACATTGAGAGATGAGGGGCAGTATGGAGGAAATACTTGCGTTCCCGTAGGGCTTCTTTAACGAGAGCATATCTGCAAAGGAAGATCAGCAAGCACAATTCCCATCAACGACGGGGAAAAAGACCCTCTCGACGTACTGATTGTAGTCCAATTGCCAAACTGCTTTTTCCAGATAACGAACACCGCCGTGGACTAATTTCGTACTCTTGCTACTCGTTCCAGCACTGAAATCGTCACGCTCAATTAGAGCTACCTTTAAACCACGCGAAGCGGCATCCAGAGCTATGCCAGAGCCAGTTGCCCCGCCCCCAATGACAAGTAAATCGTAAGGCTCGTTTTCATCTGGTGCGTTGGAGCTCTGGGAGCTTGAATATTTTGCCCATTCTCCAGAAAGCAACTTTGTGGCGTTTGTCTGTGAACTTCGTTTCAAGTCCTGAATCTGTTCAACGCGACTTTTGACATGTGGAAAACTCGGGGGTACTAGCTGTCCTCCATCACTATAGGATGGTGGTGGGACCGCCGCTGGGTCTGACCCGGGTAGATTGCGTGGTCGGTATGAAAAATATAGGATACCTCCTCCTCCGGCTACAACAGCAATTGTATAAAATAGTGGCTTCAGGATCCGGCGTGACCGTGGACTAATCATGATCTGGCAAATTCAAGAGGTAACGGCTTTGATAAACCGATATACCGCAGATCGATTTGCACACAATAAAAGAGGAAATCTAGAATTGAACTGGGTAAACACCAGAGTAAGTAGACATACACTTTACGCCAAGCCAGGAGATGATACATCAATAACCCACTCTCAGCGTATATACCATGCAGATATCAAGGGCTGCTGGAAATAGGTGGGTGTTATAAATAGAAGTTGCTATCAGAAGAAGCATACATGAGCTGCAGGAAAGCAGACTAAAACCCCACCCCCCAGTGTAGCTGTGGAATTGAGGGGACCTGGGGACTTCAAGGCGGTAAATGAGAGAGGATGTTAAAGGAGGCAGTTAACTAACTGGTTAAATCAAGTCTGGATATTAGTTACTGAAATTCAAAGACAAAACCAGGTGGTGACGATGACAATTATGGAGCGGCAAACTCACCCACCGCTTACGGGAGCTATCTTGGTGTTCCGTTGACGGTTGACTCTGTCATCATTAACCTTGGAGTGACGCCAAAGGTGGGTGCAAAGGCGGTTCGTTCCTCGGTTACCAAGGAGTCCGCAGCAGCCAGCCCTACGTCCGCCATTGTCGCCTAGCTAACCAATCAATCACCATTCGAAGAGCGCTCTCTAGCCGCGCGCGACTTGGTATAAGCAACGTTGGACGAAAATATATTCCACAATTCTCCACACAACTCTCTCTTTTCTAATCTCAAACAATCTTTGGAACCGGGTTCAATGTCCATATTGATGCCTCCGTTCAGCATTTAATTCGACATTCATCTATTGCCTCAGTCTCTACCGGTGGTTTCAAAATCATGGATGCATCAATAATTCAGTTATCCCCAGATTACCTTTCAGTTGATCAGTATTTTTGTTTCGTCAGCAGCCTCCAGTCGAGCTCTGCAAGACGCACATGCATTCGCTGGATAAGCGGTGTGTTACTGAAGGGTGATTCCTTATATGCTAGAAATTGCCCTCAGTGGTCCATGTTATCTAATGCCCGAGGGAATCCCTGATTATATGCCAATCTCACTCCGATTGATCGATCTATTCAAAAATCTTCGTTCCATCATTGTCACCCGTGCACATAGGTGATATTCCAAGGGCTGCCCCGATCCAGACAGATAAAGGCGTAACGGTATATCTTCATGCTTCATGCGAGCTGCCTGGTGCGACACTTTATCCTTCCATACCATCGACCATAGCTCTAATATACATGCCAATCTGAGGCTCATTGATAACCGGATATAAAGGGGCAGAAGGGCGAGTTTAAGCCGTCTAGGTATATACATCCTCAACATAGGATGAAGAAAGCTTCTTCTTGAAGATTAATTTCCCCCTCGCCCTTTCTCCTCGGTGTGGGAACTACTTAACGCTGTTTAAATTGACCCTATCGGATGTAGTCGATCAAGCATTTTTCTACACGGGTCGTAGAATGGTGTTGGAGTTCATGAACGAAACCATACCACTTATTCCCCGCCAGTCGCCAATCTGTATTGCTAGCTCTCGGTAAACGGGGTTGACAGATATCAACAGATTTGCGATCAAACGATCCCGGAGTATACTTTCTTTTATCAGAATAGAGTATGTGGGGAAATGATCTGGTGTGATTAAGAAGAGGCCCTGACCTTTGATGATGCAGAGAAACATAATCCGACGGGGCATGAATATGAGATGTGGAAACTATCTTGCTTTCTCCTCATTCTATCGATTCTTGGTTTCAATTGAAGCGATCTTTCTTTCAAGCTGGTCTATTGCTTCCCATGACTGAAGATTGATTTTCTCTTGGCTTTATTGAAAAGCACCGCAATTTCTTACATGTCAAGGACGTAGTAAAAAGAGCGACAACTTGGGCCCTTTAGCAATTGAGGTAACATTCCTGCTTTCCACGTACATTGGCTCTCGACTCCCTTACCCTCTGCCGGACCACAAGACCCTATGAGAGGATGCCATGAAATCAGTCCAAAGTTAAACAAGGACAAATACCGGATTCAGCCAGGCGACCACTTAGCGAAGACCTTTGGATTTATCACAGGGCCAGAGTTAAGCAACAACTCCGGGGCGCCGATCTTCCACAGGCATCACAGAGATGGCCAATTTGGAACATTTTGGGCAGTCAAGGCCATCAGCCGTCGAAAAAAGTTTTTTAAAAAAATACACCATTGGTTGACAAAGGTTTCTCGTTCTGATTGAGCTTCTCGGTTTCAACTTCTGTGGTATGTCTTGCTTTACTATTGGTCTACTAAATGATAAAGCTTTTTGCATACGTTCATGAGGATTTCCAGCTTGTACTCCGGTATCGTTTGGGGCCTGCCTGATCTTGGTTGCTGGATCTACCGAGATGGTCTGCCTGATCACACATGCATTACTTCAACTTAACCACCCACATCTACCCTGCTTTACTTCGAAGTGATAGAAAGTACTAATTTCCCCTCCCTGTTTGTCAACAAAGTCGATTACATCCCCAATTATACAGAGTCATGGGCATATTCCAGCTCATATTGGCCTACTTTGTATGCAACACCGGTACACCCCAACCTTTATTCCCCAATGTTGCTGACAGCCACGAAAAAAGAAAATCTAAATGTGAGGCCCAGCCCCAAAGTGCATACATTTTTAACCAATAACACCACATTATCCACATTTTTTTCATGTCGGAATACCACACATGGAATAAACTCCGATTGAACCAATTCCCGTAACCATGTCGGCACGCAGCGAATGGCTGACGTTTGGTGTCCGGAGAAGATAACCATTCGGACAATTTCCTGAGGCCACAAGGAGATCAGAGCATTCATAAAGGGATACTTTGCTCTTTTCAGCATATTGATTTAGACCTTTTTGTTCGCACACGGAAGCATATTCCCCCGTGTGCTGGTCATATTTAAAAGGTGTAGTTGCCATGAAGATTCAGCCTATTATTCCATATTCCAAAGCCAACGCCTGCCGTCTTCTAGAAAACGGGCCGTGCCACCAAATGTTCCCTGGATGTTGGTTTGTATCAGCTTTGAACCCAACCCAGGGAGGAATCTCCTAAGGACATGAAAGAGGAACAGTATAATAAATTCGAAGAAGGAAAAGAAAATCCTGTTTCGAATTACGGATGTAACCCCCTTTCTACATAATCAACCTCCCTTACTTTATATTCGAAAATTAGCGACTTTCCGTATTCTTTTTTTTAGTTCTTCCAATACTAACAGTTACCCGAGAACATATGCTTTCGTATCTTATTTGATAATAATCGTAATCAGGATTTCGAAAACAATAACAAAGAAGAGGTTTCAACATTGAAGCTATATCAAGTTTCAAGTCTTCCACTGCAGGCCAAGACACGGGAAGGTGATGGGCTGGAACAATTTAGTACGCGGGACGATGCATGATTCCATACATCCAATTTTGCGAAATTTTTAAACCCTGGTTTTCTGTCTTTTCTGATAAATTTCTACTCCTTGGAGGCCTTCACTTCCATGAACTACAACTCTCGAATTATACCCCAACCCCGCTGGAACTACCCTGTATATGCGAAACACAATAAACACCCATGGATCGATCCACTTTGAGCTTAGTCGATGGAAGAAAGCGACTCATTGCTGCCTTTGGACCAACCTCGAACAAAGCCCTGATCCCTTCCGTGTAAAAAGGGAGTTGCTTGCAAACCAGAACTGGGTTCCCCAATCAAGAAACTGGCAATTATTTTACAGTCTTCCTCGGGTTCCATGATTCTCACGGTTGCATCAAAAACTGACACATCCAACCATCGTGTTTTCATTCCACGACCCCAGACCTCTGCCAACTTATTCCCATGTCAAACACAAAGGAACTCGTTGAATGAGTGCCCCCTTACACTAACAGGCGGAAGTTAACTATGTAGCCAACTGCTACAATCTTCTCAGCAATTGTGCACCAGTGAAGGGTGAAGGGAGATAGAGAAGCGATCAACGATGGCGAGCCCAATGACTTGCTGGGCCTCACAGACACCGCGGGATCCATAGAAAACTCCCGAGCATCAGACACGAACGCAGACATTTGCGCTATTCGCACATATAATCAATAGTAGTCGCAATCTCCGTGACGGCGAGGCCTGGAACACTTTGCTCCAAGTCCACACACATCTTGATTTTCCGGATCATATGATTCATCACCATGAAGGAGATCAACTTTTCAACACCGCGAGAATGCTGTTGCATGTGGAGACTGACGTCCGAGCTTCGTTAAGAAAACAAACGCAACAGCCCTGAGGCCACCTAGGCTTTGTTCGATCCTCCCATCGTCGAGGGCGACGGGGGAGGAGCCCCTCACCCGGCCTCAAAGGAGACAAGTATTTGAGGACTACAAATCCAACAGCCCCATCCAATTCCCTCTTTTCACGATTGTTTCAATGATCTGTCGCTTTTTGCGCTGCCTCATCCTGCTCGGCGTTCGGAAGTGCCGTTTATTCTCCCATTGACGTTAACCGAAAAGCTTCTCCGAGTGCAAATGATATTGTTTTTTTTTAACTATATCACTGAAATCTGTGTTAAGAGATTTTAATTAAGAAATCATTATCGGGGTTAAAGTGGCAAGAACACTCCATACTCAAACAGTTATTAATTTTTAGATATCATGACTTCATCCCAGTCGTAGCCAGAGACTTGCGGAATGGCATTATGATGCCAATGTCAGCGGCATATTATTTTGATAGGGATCAAAGAAGGGCATATCGCCAGTATCACAGTGTGATTCCACAATGTCATAGCGCAATCGAGAGTATCTCAAGCATTTCTGCTTGCAAAAACAACTTGCTATGTTGGAGATTGATAGGAAGCTGAAGTCCGTCAGATTGATGAAAGACTGTTCTTGAGTCTTATGCATAGGTTATTGAATAGTTCATCTATGCTTTGTCCTGTCTTTTCTTCTTGCCATCAACTCTGCGGAATGTGAAAACATAAAATGGGTTTTGTTCAGAATCAACCAAGAAGGACACCGGTAATAATACAAGCTTCCTTGGTAGAAAATTCCACATCTGCACACGATTCTCTCCCCACATGTATATACTCCACGGAGTTCACCCTCCGCAGAAAATGGGTTTCATCATAAACCTCAAAAATACCAGTCTCCCCTAGCTTCTCCGGACCTCATAGATTATCTCTCCCACCTTCCCCGGCCCGGTTTCAGGCATGGCAATTGTACATTGCCAAGAAAAAAAAAAATTCAGGATTAACGTGATCAGCGAACACCGAGTATTTTCACACGAAGTGGTGATAGATAGCAGATGGTTTTGATTCAAGGTCTAGTCAGATCGGCGGTAGAACTATGAGGAATGAGGGTAATCATATGAACAGGAAATAATACTGCGAGGTTCCACTCGAGAATCTAGGTGGCTAGGGGGATATTGGAGAGAGTGTGAAGTGGAAGAGCATCAATATGGCATGAAAGACTGTTGTGTCGCTAAATTACTATTGGTGCTCCACTTCACCCAAGTAAATTATTCTCATGATAAGTTTTTTTGAGGTAATTAGAATTGTAGAGAAATAAAATACAGACTATAGTTCCCCACTTCTCTTGATGTCTTTTACCAGATACAGATGTGGATAAATGTTGCATCGCAACAACTT